TGGTAGCACTGGATTATTGCAACTTATTTTTAATGAGTTCTTTTTGTCTTACCATGTCCACAAGTGAGGGATCAGCACCAAGTTTTAGTAAAGATTTAACAGCATATATATAACCATTTTTTGAAGCCAAGTGAAGTGCAGATTGTTTGTTCTAAAGAAAATTTTTATTTTATGTTTGACTGTGAGTTTTTTTTTTTTTTTTTTGTTATATAATCAAAAGTGAAACTTTAAAAGTTAATCAAAAACAAAATTTCTCACCAAAGCCAAAATACTGTGTGCAGCATGGTATTTGGTAACAAGCATCTCAAAGAGTTGACTGTGACCATTTGCAGCAGCAAGAGACACAGAACTCATACCAAACTAAAATTGTGATTTTTTATAACTGTTTTTTATCTAAATTTGTTTTTAAAATTGAAAGATTTATTCAAATTCAAGTTGATAGATCAATTAGATGAATTAATAAGATGAAAAAATAAAAATTAATAAGTATATAACTGTTTATTGAAATAATTTAAAATTACTATATTAATTTTTCAACATACATTTTAAAAATGCTTTAGTACTGTTATCATTAATTTACACTAATTTATGGATTTGTACTACTGTAAAAATTACCAATAAAATTAGTTCTGTTGTATTATATATTAGTACTGTTTATATATATTAACTACACAACTTAAAGGTACTGTATTAATAGTAATATTATATTTTATTTATTAATAGTATTATTATACTTTATTATTTAAAATATTAAGTATTAATAGGTGTTTGTAAAGTTTTTTTTTTATGTTACTGCTTTTTTGAAAAATAGCAATACAAACCTTGGTCTTGACATCAACATAAGCATTTTTTTCTAACAAAAGCTCAGCACATGAAATATGTCCACTTTGTGATGCAATATGGAGAGCTGTTTTGCCATCCTAACATTAGGTGTTAAGATTCAGTTTAATTTCTGATAAATAAGACACTAAATTATTTGTTAACTCTGGGAACAACAACTAAAAGAAATTGAGACATGAAAACAACACAGTCATATATCCACAAATTGTAATATTTCATTAAATATGTTAATCTAGTCTAATTTTTATAAAGCCCTAATTTTAAGCCAAGACTTAATCTATAGTTGATTTTAAAATAATATTTAAATAACATGACTGTATTTTTCCCATTCGGTAAAACTTTTAATGTAGAACAAAAATGATTTGTTATTCTCAAGTCTCAAAATGTAAATTAAGTAGAAAACAAATACCAAGAACGAAAAAGTAAAAGTAGAAAGCAAATACCAAGAACGAAAAATTAAGTAGAAAACAAATACCAAGAACAAAAAATTAAGTAGAAAACAAATACCAAGAACGAAAAATTAAGTAGAAAACAAATACCAAGAACAAAAAATTAAGTAGAAAACAAATACCAAGAACGAAAAAGTAAAAGTAGAAAACAAATACCAAGAACGAAAAAGTAAAAGCCAAAACATTTTTAAATATAACCAAAATCTAAATATTACTAACTTGATCAAAATAATCTAATCTTGCATCATGTTCCAGTAATGTTCTTACAATTCCCAAGTGACCAAAGTGACATGCAATGAGAAGAGGAGTCCACCCTTTCTAAAAAAAAATATTAAAAAAAATTCAAAACACTTTCTGCATGACAAAAAATTTACAATTATAAGATATTTTACAATTATAATATAAAATCTACAATTATAATATAAAATCTTTACAATAATAATATAAAAAATTTACAATTATAAGATAATTTACAATTATAATATAAAATCTATTTATTTATAAATATTTATCTAAATTTATACTTTTTTTTACTTACAATGTTAGGACAGTTCGATGCTTTAAAAGTTTCTTTTTCAGATATGGATGCAAATATCATCTGTAGCACTTTTGTGTTACCAGTTTCACAGCAATAATGAACAGCAGTTTCAGCTGTCTAAAATTGTTTGTGATTTAGTTCATTCAAATCTCCTTAAAATTTCAATTGGAAACCAAAAAAAAACCATTTTACGAAAATTTATAATTTTTACAATTAAACTTATTTCCTTTAAAATGATGTAAAATGATTTTTGTAAAAATAATTATAAAATTATATTTTATACATATTTATGTATGTTAAATTCTATATTAAATTACATACTATTTTATAAAACATGATAATAGATTCTAATTTTAATTCTATATTAATGGAAAGTTTAAATTTAAAAAAGATATTTAACTATTTATTTTAAAACACAACTTTAATTACATGTAGAGTTTGAAGATTATGCTTTGCAGAATTATCCAAAAGCAGCTTGGTTAGATCCGTGTAAATTGTTTGGGTTTCAGTGTTAGAACTGATTTTGGCACAGTAATGAAGTGCAGTTTCTCCCAACTGAAATATATGTAATAATAATCTTATGTGATAAACTAAATGTCTTACAAAACAATACTCTAAAAAATATGCACTAATAAAAATAATAACAATAATAATCTATAATATACACTATAAATCTCATGTTATTATTATTAAAATTAGAATTATGTAAAACTATGGCAAAGCATATATATATATATATATATATATATATATATATATATATATATATATATATATATATATATATATATATATATAAATATATATATATATATATATAAATATATATATATATATATATATATACATATATATATACATATATATATATATACATATATATATATATATATATATATATATATATATATATATATATATATATATATATATATACACACATATATATGTATATATATATATGATTCAAATATTGACATCTTGTATGAGAGTATATATATATATAAACTACTTTAAATTAACAGATAATATGAATTTTTTCAATACTTAATGATAATATATATATATATATATATATATATATATATATATATATATATATATATATATATATATATATATATATATATATATATATATATATATATATATATCAGGGCTCGAATTGTGCGTATAGCGATCGTGAATCGCAATTGCTTTTCACACCTTCGCGATTAGTTTTTTTGTAAAAAAAATATTTTCGCGATTTGTTTTTTTTTTGGTTGTTCATACTTTTTTTCTAGTTTATGAGCACAATCTAGCATTTTTTTTGGCAATTCTTAAAAGTATTGTTTTTGTTATAAAGTACGTCATGCTAAATTTGTCTTCTGAATTGATGATCATTTGCCTTTTTGCGCGGAGATTTTCATTTGAATTTAAATTACTTTAAATCTCTGCGTGGAAGCCAATAATCTTTAAAGGGTTGTTAAAACGAAAATTGAAAAGGGAAAAGATGTTAAAGCGAATTTATTCTTTATTTTTTTTTTTTAAATCAAAACAGCCTGGTTTATATCTTTGTCTTTCAAAACGTCACACCAAATTAACTTATTATTAATGATTTAAGTTATTATTTTATCAACGATTTTATATTCTTTTATATTATTAATTTTACTACTTTAAGTATATTGAAATATATATTAATTCGTTTTTATTAATTTTTTTTCAAATACTTAATCAATGCCAATAGAAACCAGCAACTTTTTTGCATCAACATTTTTAAGCTTATTCTTTAACTTAATGAAATATAATCTGATTTATTAAATCAAATTTTTTTGTTTCACTTTTTGTTGGAAAACAATTTGAATAAAAAAATTGAAGAAAACATCAATTTAAAAACCATTTAAATGAAAAACTTAATTATAATTTAAACTTTTATAAGTCCTCTAGATCAAGAAACAATAAATTATAAAAAAAGTGATGTCTAACTTTTTTTTTTTAATCTAACTCGTTTGGTCTCTAGATTACTTGTATGGTCTATAGGAATATTTTTGCCCAAATATTAAGTTTCATGAAGATAATTTTTTATTTTATTAAATAGAACAATTTCATTTATTTGTTTTGTTTTATTTTAAATGCATTTTATGTTATTAAAGTTATAATTGTATAAAACAGTAACAAAACAGTGCCACAAAGTTGTTTTACATTAACACAAGCTATTTATATTTTTAAAACAACTTTGCAGATTGTTTTAATGTTGTTTTATAACTTTTAACAATAACAATTAAATACTCTTAAATAACAACAGGTGTTTTATCGTCAGCATGAATGTGTTAAATAATTTTCTATGACTAATTAAAGTGGTTTAAATATTGTAATGTTTGTTTTTTACTCTTAGTTTTTTACTTTTACTTTTTTAAATATCATGTTAAGTAAAAACAATTACTAAAAGTAATATCTTAATAGTATTTAATATGTTACTTGCTCATTACATTATAACTGCAAATTTAACTTTAAGTCAAATTTAATTAAGCTGTAAATTATAACAGTAACCCACGCCATTTTAAACTCCACCAAACAAGAAAATTATAAGATAAATATGAGAGATAATATGTTAAAAAATAACAGTTACATACTAAAGGTACATTTGAGTCATTGAGAGCAAGGGTGGTGTAAGTCAAGAAAAATTGCAATTTGAGTTAAGTCAATGTCCGAATAGTTTATTACTCAAGCAATTATTGGTAAAAGAGGTGTAAGTCATAGTTATCATTTTCAACGCTAGATCGCAGCATGTACTTTATTGTGCTTGAAAGTTTGAAACTAACACCAAACATAAAATATAATTTATCTTTTTAATAAGTACGCTAACGTACAACCCCCCCCCATTACCGAAAAGCGGCGCGAGCTATGAAGGAAGAAGGGAGAGGGTTGTACGTTAGCATATTTTTTCGCGATTTAGCAAATTTTTTTGCGATTACATTTTTTTGCGATAATTGGAGCCCTGTATATATATATATGTATATATATACATATATATATATATATATATATATATATATATATATATATATATATATATATATATATATATATATATATATATATATATATATATATATATATATATATGTATATATATATATTCCTATGTGAACGTTTTAAATTTATGGTAAAAAAATAGCTCTTAACAACTATTTGTGTTTAAAGAAGATAAAATCAAAGCACTTTATGTAAAAACCATTATATTTAATTGAGAAAAATAATTAAGTTTTATCACTTTTTAAAAAACTATAAAAACGCAAATTAATAGACTGAAATGTTTTTAAAAGCATTCAGAATGTTTTCATTATTTGAAAAAAAAATAAAAACATTCTGAATGCTTAATTTTTACTTATTTAATGTTAGCATATGTCGACTGACAAATGGGTAGAACATGCGAGAAGTGCTACTGCATCAAGTGACAGATAAATAGATATAACATGCAAGGAGTGTTGCTGCATTGACTGAAAAAGAAGTAGAACATACGAGGAGTGCTGCTACATAGATGGATTAGGTTAAAAATTAAAGACGATCAATATAAGAAATGATATAAATCAATATGAGAAATATAAACAACATATATAAATAAGACTCACTTTGTTTGTTGCATTGATTTGTTTTTCAAACTCTGCTGCATCTAAAACCTTTTTCATTTCATCAAGAATCAATAGCAAAATTAAAATTGACGAGTTTGAAACAGAAAGGTGTAAAGGTGTCTCTCCATCCTAGATAGTTTTAAAGAATACATTAAAGTATTTTATAAAGTAATTACAATAGATTACAACCAAGCATATCACATATTATCACATACAACAAAAAGTATGAAACAATATGGGAGGGTTGGAACACAATAATAAATTATTATTATTATTGTGTTCCAACCCTCCCATTAGAGAGCAGATAATTTGGTTAGTTATAACACAATAAAAAAATGTAAAATATCACATGTTTGATAACAATCTTTGTACTTATTAGACACAAGTATATCAAGTTAACATTTTAAAAATACATTGTAAATATTTGTGTCCATAAGATAAAAACAAATTTGATGTCTTCATACATCAATGCATAGATCATAAACAAAGTTTTTATCACTTGGATCTGCACTTAAGTAGGGTTTATGAGCTCAAAGGAAACATGCAGAACATTGAAATTTACTGTCTCATAGTTTTGAGTCACTAAAAAAGTTGAAAATAGATTCATCATCAGGTATGATGTGTGCAAACTTTTTTTTTCAGATTTGTCCTTAGCTTTTGCAATACAGTTCTTGTCTCCTGCTTTTTTTAACTGGTAATAGTTTCTCTTTTGAAGTCTCTTACTAAGATATAAAATAAAAAAAACTTTTTTTTCTAAATTAAAAATAAAAATCTTATGATAGATAGCTTATGTTGAAAAATTAACAACTCTATAATTTTTAGTATGCCTTAAAATTTAAAAAAAAGTGATATTTAAAAAATTAGTTATAGTTTTAAACAAAAGTTTCCCTCTCCCTTCTTCCCCAAACAATATGATATGCATTTTGTTAGTATATTTAAGGAGTAGTTTGCAACCAATTAGTAACTTGAAGTTTGCAGCAGACAAAGCTTGCTTATAGTGAAAGCATTTATTCTTCTTCATCAATGCTTATAAACAAATATTTATTCTAGTTAAATAAGTTAATACACATACATACATAAAATAACACATAAAAGTTACAAAGATGTTGTTAATAAGCACCCAGGAACCTAAAAAATTTTGAAATTATTTAACAATGTACCTACAAAAATGTTGTGATTAATCAATCAGGTACCTACAAAAATGTTATTAACTAGTACCCAGGTACCTATAAAATATTTTAAGCTTATATTAATAGAAAAATCTTTGTATCAATTTGAAGCATACTTGTACCTTGTCAGACAAAAAACATATAAAACATCAACATATGAAACATGAACATATAATCATCAACATATAAAACATCAACAAATAATCATCCACATATAATCATCAATATATAATAATCAACATATAAGATTTGTTTTAATACAAGCTTACATTATTTTTTGCAATGACAGATGCTCCATCCTTAATAAGTAACTTTGCAACAGCAGAGTTTTTTAAACGAACAGCAACATGAAGAGAACTTTCACCGTCCTGAAAAATTACCAATATCAAAGCAACAAATAATGTATAAAAAAACGTTAAAAAATAGTAATTGATATACTAAAACTTCAACAAAAGAAAATAAACACCAAGTAAAAACTCACCAAGTTTAAAATAGAACTATCAGCACCGCTTAATAACAAAAGTTCGATTATATGATCTGAATGCCTGTTCAATTTTGATGCAAAATGAAGAGGAGTATCGTTTTTCTAAACAATTGAATTATTATTTCAAAAAACTAAATATTTAAATTATTTAAACATTTGTTCAACCAATTTTGACATAAAACCAAACTTTCTCCACTTGTATTTTACACACAGATTGGTTTTATGTTTATGATTAAAAATGGCTCTAAATTCTACAAAAAAAAAAATGCTTTAGTTAATCCATGCACAAACTTCTGGAGCAATTATTTAACACCAACGTTTTTAAAATTTATGTATTAGAATGTTTTTATATTATTATTTTTATATTATTTATATTATTAAAGTTTTGGTTATGAGAAACTATATCTTTAGTTATATAACAAAATTTTTCTTTAGTTTGCTTTGAACAGTTTTATGTTAAGTTTATTTTTTATATAAATTAATAACACAGACATACAAAAAAAAAAATTCTAAATTTTCTTTAGTGAATGGGTTAATTTTAACATGCCAATTTGTGCTTGTATCACATCAAATTTTTGCTTGTATCACATCAAATTTTTAAGAAAACTTGAATTTAAATATTGACCACTTTAATAAATTAATATACTGATATTTCATATTACTATCAATGAAAATATTTTCCAAAAGTCTACTAAAACTTTTATTATTTAAAATATATCATTTTATTAAAAAAAAAGAAACAAATAGAAAATTTTTTCATTGCTCGTAAACAATTTAATTCTAAACAAATATCAAGTTTATTGATTAGGTTTAAATTTCTTGCATATTTAATTCCAATGGTATTTTACTTCTGGGGCATCCCATTGGAGCAACCAGCAGTAGTCTGCTACATGGCACGACTCCATTGTCCTTGGTATCATGATTCCATCACAGCAGTTTCCTGATGGAAAAGCTTGCCATGCTCATCACTGACCTCGCCAAGATATTCTGGAAAAAAGTTGAGATGGGAATAAAGAAAATGAATTTTAAGAGACATCTTACATCCCATGTTTTGGGAGGCATCTATGCATTGTTTAACCACTTCTATGTAATTGCTAGATTTATTATTTCCCAAAAAGTTGGCAACAAAGTATTTAAAAGCTAGCCATGCCTCAAGATCTTTTCCACTTAGTAGATCTTGAAAATGTTGATCATCTATTACTTTTCTTATCTGTGGGCTCACAAAAATTCTTTCCTTTACTTTAGCATCACTTATTCGTGGAAACATGGAATGAAGATACGCGAAGGCATTGAACCAGTGGTTCATGCAAAACATTTTTTTGACCAGGTTCCATACAATCCCTAACAAGCCAAATTTTTTTTTTATAGTGTCTCTATTTCAGCTATTGCATTCATAGAGGAAGCAGCAAACTTTTGTGTATCTAAGTTGTAGACCCATGAGAATTCCAATAACTTTTAAATATCCACGAACTCTCCATTTGTAATCATTGTATTTTATTTTTATTAAAACATTACTGATGTTGTCATAAGACTTTTTTAACTGTGGGGATTATGCAACTGGAATGGATGGCAACACATTGCCATAATGTAGAAGCACAAACTTAAGGCTAGTTTTTGATGTATCAATGAAAAGACGCCAGTTTTTGACTTCATGCTCATTACCAAGACACTGAGATAGTAGTAGCAGATATTATCATCTGATGTAAAGTACTGCATAAGCTCCTTGTTTCTGAGGCAAAACTTACATATTTTAACATCAGGTGGTAACAAGTTCCACTGTTTTAGTCGGGATCCAAAAAGCTCTGCCTGTCCATTTGTCAAAGAGAGATCACGTATAAGATCTGAAAACTGTGCATTATTTACTAAATGAATTATATTACTTTCAGGAATGTAGTCATTATCAGAACCTTCAATATTTTCAGGACTACCTTGATTGTCATTGTCACTCTGAGAAGAATCATTTGGGTGAAAAGAGTATGAATCAGGGAATTGGAACTGGACAGTTTATAAAGTTGTGAAGCATTGGCTTAGACCCAAATTGAATGTTAGGATATAATACTGATTTACGAGTTTTAAATGAAAATTCTTTTATTACTGTCATGCAAAAGTAACAATCAGTGGCATGATTTGTTGGTTCACACCATATCATTGGAACTCCAAAGGGAATTGACTTGTGTTTTGGTAATTTTCACAATCATCCTGCTAAAGTATTTGCACAAATGGAGCAAATGATATTTTGTTTTCACTGCTTCTCCACATCATCAACTTTGGAGTTGAAATAAAGTTCATAGGCTTTTTTTAATAAAGGGGTCATCGTTTTCTGGTGGTCAACATCAGTAAAAAATCCACAAACGTAGCAAAACAAATCAGAAGAATTGAAACATTTTTGAGAAGCCATGTCAATAATATTTATCATGAAAACAAAGTATGAAAACAAAGATCAACAAAGTTATAGCATAGAATATACTATTGTTAAAGGCTTATTTTGAAAAAATGTTTAATAGCTGGTTTTTTTGGAACGCAATGTGATAGAGCAAAATGGTTTTCAGAAATCAGCGTAAAAAACTTATATAAATACACTTATTGTTGTATGGGGAAAAAAAATGTTTATGTCAGTGTAATTAATAGTGCCTTTGATAATTCAGTAGAGTAATATTTTATAATCTAATCACAAAATATAATCACATTGCTTTGTTTGTAAATTTGCTTTTAACATATTAAATATCTTTGTAAGTCTATAAACATGCTTTTTAACATATTTAATATTTTAGATTAGATTTATTAAAATATTGCTTATCTTTCTATAATAAACCATTTTGTTGTGTTTTATTAACGTAATTTGATTGTAATTTTTTTTAAATTAATTAAAATGGCACTTAAAAGCGTAATCTGATAAAAGTTTTAAGAACTTTTGTTTTAATTTATTTTTTTAAATTTAAAATGAGGTGGTTTTTTTTGAAATATTTAAAACAATGGAAAGAAACTACTCTAGTTTTTTATATATTCAAACTGAAATTTGTTTGTTTCAGATGTTAGAATAACTTGTACCTGATGTAAGAAAAAATAAAATTAATTATAATAATTATAGATTGCTAATATTTAACTTTTCATACTGTTCCTCCAGCAGCATTCACATCTGCTCCATATCCAATGAGAATTTGTGCAGCATTATACTTTCCATGGAGAACAGCATAATGTAGAGGTGTGTATAAATCCTGAAAGTTATTATTTTCTAAATATTTTATTTGTAAAAAAAATTTTAAATTTAAGAGAGCTATTGTATCTAAAAATGATTTTAAATAAATTTTTATTTTTTTGTAAAAAAAATGAATGAAAAAGTATGAATACTTTTGTATATTTTTCTATTTGAGCTCCATGTTCTATAAGTAGCTTCACAATGACACTAAAACCTCGTTTGCAAGCTTCGTGCAATGCCTCTATACCATTCTATGACAAAATTTCAAGAGATAGTTTCTTCAAAAAATATAAAAATGAATTTTCAATTACATATAATTTTAAATTACAAATAAAAACCCACAGTTTTATTCTTAAAACAACAAAAGTTTTTAAAACTTTTCATTATTATGAAAGTTTTTGTTAAATTATATAGTTATTTTATATAACTTCAAAATATATACTAAAGGTAATATAAATATAATTTATCATATAATACAAATTTGTATATTTCATCAAAGCAAAAACAAAATAATTTGTGAAGCTCATAATTCAACTTCCACTAATCAAAGTTGCGAGCTGTTGTAACTTTGAACCCTATCTAGGCTCTCTTTGAAGCTAAAAGTCACTTTCAGAGCTGGTTGTTTTCAATGTAGTTTAAGACATTATTTGAATTCTAAGTTAACTTTTTTAGATAACTTAAAATTTAAAATTTTGGTCACAGATGATAAGACCAATAGTATTTTTCATGTTGCAATGAGCAGTTTTAAAAGTTAGGACAAGGACAATTTAATGAAGATGAAAACAAATAATTAACTAAGACTAATTTGGGTGGAGAAGACCACATAATTAAATTTGGGTGAGGAGATGACAGAGCTAGAAGTCAAAGCAATCTCTGGAAAATTGAAATCACCAGCAATGATGTCATTGCATTCATATGTAAAATCACCAGCAATGATGCTATTGCATTTTTTGGTTAATAAAATTGTTTTGGTGTATCACTGGAAATCTCTGGTTTTTGTACCAGAAAATGGAGACCTGTGAATATAGTCTAAAAGTCGAGTTTCCTTTGAAAGCTTAAGTAGAATCCATAATTTTTCTGTAAAGTAGCAATTAAAATCATTGTGAAATTGGAAATCTTCGAGTTGGCTTGAGAGCAGCTCGAAGAATCCTAACTACATTTTTGTGGTTAGGATTATTCAAGTACAAGTTTGTCATTTATGTAACAACTTGATTGGTAAGGTTTTAACCTAATTGGTCTTGAAGATGACTAAGAGAGGTGGTGTTCATGTAGAAGCATGAGTTAGCAGTGCTGAAGGAGACTGAACAAGATGGTACTAAAAGCCACTTAATTGCTTCAGCTACATTTGAAAAATGGATTCCTCTCTCCTTCATTAATGTAGACTGTTTTGTGTCAATGCATTTGATTCTTTTACTGCAGATGACAAGTCTTTTGCCAATAATTTTGTGTTTTTGGTGGCATACTTCTTGTTTAGGCTGTTGAATGTTTTTGTTAGTAAGATGTACAGCCTGGATGGATGTAGACAGATTTTAATTCATCTACTAAGGTGAGTCTTTTAGCATTAAATAAGAGATCTTTTCAACACTCATTTGTATCTAACTTTATAATGATTAGTTTATGAACTAATTTGAACTGGTGGTATTGGTGATTTTTTGCTAAAGGAGTTAAATTTTGGTGTCTTGAGACACCAAAATTTAACTCCTTTAGCAAGTTGAGAGTTGTGGTCAAACTCAGAGAAGCAAAACTTCTTTACTGAGGCACTTGTAGCTGCAAAAATAGGCTTAAGATATTGTTCTATTAATATGCTTTGTGGGTTGTATGAAAAAAAGTGCATTAGATTGTATTTTGAGGATGAACTTGAGACCTACATTATCTTTTGAGATTGAACTCACATTGAGTCAAGCTGTCAAGCTCAAAAATGGAATATCTTCATTAACTTACTCAGCAAATAAATAATATTTTGTACTTTTGATGTAAGAGTGGGAAAAAAATATGCAATATTGTTTTTCACATAATTCTTTTTGATTGATGTAATAATAGAAAGAAAATCAGCTTCAGATTTGAGGTGAATGATTTTGAATCCAATAAAACTGTGAACAGATAATTTAATATTATTGGGAGTTGTCAATCTAATAGAATTCTTGTCATACTGAAAGTATAATGTTACATCCATAATCCCTTGCAAAACTATATCAAGTCTTCAGAATTATGTCCATATTTGAGTTTTAAATTAGTCATCAGTAAACTGCTGAACTTTAATGATGGAAACCATGTTTGTTCTGTTTTTTAACCAAGTCATCCAGATTTTTTAATGTAATTATTATTTTTTATACTAATTTATCATAAATAAGATTATCATATTCTATCCTAGGTAATATTAGTAATAATTTAATAATTTTATACTGTTTATAGAAGCTTTGCTGAATTTTCAATGAGTTAATTTTTCTAAAAAATTTTTCTAACCGTTAACTTTTTGTTTACTTTTTTTCTTTTGAGTCAAGGTGCTATTATGTATGTATATTTTGAAAGTATTATCCTGCAACATCAAGCATGAACTTTTTACATATTTACATAATAGTTGACAAAAATTATTTACTTTTGAAACTAGTTCAAAAAATATATTAAAAAAAACATTTTTTAAAAAACAAGGCAATGCAGCATTCCTCACACCATCATATAAAGATGATTCAATTATTGATTTCTGATACAGTTTTACACCTATTTTCAGATTAAGTTTCATTTGGTTTATCTTAAAACTTTTGCATTTTAACTTAAAAAACTTTATATATTGATCAAAACTTGTTATTGAGACATAAGAATGGATTCAATAAATGTATGAATCCATTATTGATTTGCAAAAGATGCTGTCTATCACTAGATATAATTTGATTAAGTCAATCAAAATAGTTACAAATTGATCTGCAAAATTTATAAAACACCATAAGTCATTTCTTATTATATTTTTTGTAATATTTCTCTACAAATGTTGATGATTGAGAGATATTTTAGTAACAAGACATTCTGAAATAATTACAACTATAAATGCACAAATATATACTGATAGAAATCATAAGACAAATAAAGTAAAATAAAGGGCTCTGATTCAACTTTTTTTTTGAATTTGTTGATGACAAGTTTAACAGTTTACATATGTTAAAGAGATTTTAACATATATTAACAGTTTTAAATATGTTAAAGAGATACTAACATATGTTAAATAGTTTAACAATTTACATATGTTAAAGAGATATTAACATATGTTCAATAAACAGCTTAAAAAATAAGTTTAACAGTTTATATATGTTAAGTTAAGATAAGTTTAAGGCAAGAAAAGACTTAAAAACATTTAGATCATAGAAATATTTGTTGAACCAACTTTTCATAAATTAAATTACTATACCTACACTAAATTCCAAACTATTTTTTGATATTTTAAGAAGATATAGTATGAAACTTACAAATGTGCATTATAAAAAAAACTTACACGATTAGGAGTTCTTACAGAAACTTTATGTTTTAAAAAAAATGACAAAACTTCAACATGTCCAGACTTTGCTGCCAAATGCATGAGAGTACTTCCATCCTAATTAAAAACCAGTAATATTTTATGTCTTAAAAAAAATTAACAAAAAAATTTATTTATTTAATTAAGTTAAAAAAAAACAACCTTTGAGCGCTCATTTAGATTTGCATGACATTTTTCAATTAACAATTGCACTATTTTAATGCTTCCTGCTTTGGTTGCAATATGTAATGGAGTACAATTTTGCTAAAAGATTATTAATTGTTAATATTTCTTTATTTACAAAAGATTAAAATATATTTTAAAATTAAATATTTAAAAATAATGTTCATGCATATTCTTTATATTTTATAAATATTATAAAATAATGTTCATTTAAATTTTATAAATGTTATAAAATAATGTTCATTTATATTTTATAAATGTTATAAAATACTGTTCATTTATATTTTATAAATATAATAAAATACTGCTCATTTATATCTAATAAATTTTATATAATATTGTTGATTTATATTTTATAATAATAAAATATAAAGAATATAAAAATATATTAAATAATATAACAATAATAAAATAAATATAAATTAAAATATCAAAATAATCTTTTAAAAAACATTCATAAATAACCTTATCAGCTATGACACCTGATGCATTCTGGCTTATCAGATACTCAACAGATTCAACATCAGATTCTGCAGCAAGTATGTGAAGTGGGGTTTTGCCTTCATGCTAAATTTGAAATATTTAAATAAATCAGAATAAAAACATTAATAAAATAAATTCAAAAATAATAACTTACATTGGTTTGGTTAATATTAGCATGCTCTTGTATTAGCAGTTTTAAAATATCCAAATCCTTTTTTTTAGCAGCTAAATGAAGAGCTGCATCCTTGTAATACCTAGTAACTGAACAAAGTTGCTCATCTCGATGAGTAGAAAGTAGCTCTTTGCAAACGTCTCGTTCTCCAACAAATATAGCTAAATGTAGAGGTAAAAGTCCAGCCTGTATTTAAGAATAAAGAGTTTTTTCAATCAAATTAAAAACATAAAAAAAAATTACATTAATTTTTATTAATCGCAAGAATTTTCAAGTCAAACAAGGTTTAAAAAAGAACTGAAAGAACAGAATTAAAAACTAAATTTGCCTTGTCTTGCTCTAATTTTGCTACTTCACCCATTGTGTTGACTATTAGTCTAACGACTTCAATTGATTTCTTTGCTCTTGAGCATGCTTGATGCAAACAGTTTCTTTCATATTGCTACAAATAAAAATGAAAATACAAAACTGTACAACAAACTGTAGAACTGTGTTGATGTACTTTTTTTTTATTTTTAAAATAAAAAAAGATATATTAACTTTAGCAATGAAGTAACTTTGACAATGATCAGATAACAATAATAATGATAAATATTTGACTGAGTTAAATAAGAAGAAAATGCAGAGAGTGCACTTTTTTTTTATTCTGATTCACTCCCAACAAGGCTGCAAGCAACTACTGTCAAGTTGGGAGTTACTAGAAAAAAAGAATAGAGCAATAGAGCAAGGAAACGATTGACAGAAGACTTAAAAAGTTGAAGGTTGTATGAGTCAGGAATACATAAAGATGGGGGGGGGGGGAGTTCCAAAACGTTAAAGTGAAGGAAAAAAACTAGACAAATAAAAGTTTATATTGCATGCAGGGACAGATACAGTAAAAGAATAAGACTTTGCTAAATGACAAGTCAAACAAGTTTTAGTTGATGGAACTAGAGATGATATTTCCTTTGAGAAGTAACCATGATAGTATTTGTAGAAAAGAAAAAGAGATGCAACTTTACGATGATGGGAAAGAAGCTCAAGTTTAGCAGATTGAGCAGGTTCAACTATGTGTACATGGCAGTTTTGGACCTTGTCTAGAAGAGAAAAAGCATCATTAAAAGAACCAGTCCAAATATGACAACAGTATTCTGTACAGGAAAGAAGAAGAGATTTTTAGAGGTAGAGAATGGAATCAGGAGAAAATGGTGAGCATGATAAAGAAAAGCAACCTTTATTGTGCTCACTATATTCTGAAGAGAAAAGTTCTTTGTAAATAGTTACATACATTAATTGACTTGAATAGGGAATGCATATAAATCGACTAAAATTTTTATTTAACAGGTAACCAATCATTTTAAAATGATTTACAGTGTGCACTCGCATGCCATTTCTGTCCAAGCCTATGTATGTATATATATATATATATATGTATATATATATATATATATATATATATATATATATATATATATATATATATATATATATATATATATATATATATATATTTATATATATATATATATATATATATACATACATATATATATATATACATACATGTATATATATATATATATATATATATATATATATATATATATATATATATATATATATATATATATTATATATATATATATATATTTACATATACATACATAGGCTTGGAAAGAAATGGCATGCAAGCGCACACTGTAACTGATCACGTTTATAATTTTTTTCTTTACAATTTGAACACAGCTATTGTGATGTTTTAACATTTTCATCGCAATAAAAAAATTGTTATGTTATGAATAATTTTTGACCGTTGATCATTTTCAAAGTTTTTTATTATAACAAAGGCTACAAAAAGGAAATAAAAATAAAAAAATTAATTACAATGGTTGTTTAAAATAAACACAATTTGTTTAAATTAAATTTTTTAGTAGGCATGTGTTTTTTATGATAAATTAAAAAATTTTAAAACTAATCTTTCAAGTCTTTCTAAAAATTTTTCAAAAGATTTTTATAAAGTTTATAAAGCTGACCATTTATAGACAACAAGAACCGAAAGTGGACCACCTAATGTACAATATTGTCAAAGTCAGGACGGTTTGATTCTATCTGATTTTTTGACTGGTTTGTTATTGTTCTTTATAAAATTGCAGAAACATTTTATGGACCTCTTAAAAATATTGGAGGAAAATACTAAATCAATCAAAAACTCTTGTTCAAAAAAGCACAGACAGTTACAGAAAACTAATCTTATTTGTCCTAATTTTATTTACTTATAAACAGCTTTATAAACATTTTTTTAAGTTACTTTAAATTATGAATAAAATTAAATCTTCCCACTCAAATGGAATTATCAAACTACTTTTGGTTTTTGCTTCATAACAATTTTTTTAATGCGCCTTTTTTTTAGACGATTGGTTCAATTTGTAGAATAAATTTATACCCACAATTTTTTTGTAAGAAATTGTTTTCTTTTTTTTCTGAAATGTTTACATCATTAAAACATCTAAACAGTTGTAGTCAAGTAGTCGTAGTCAAGTATATATATATATATATATATATATATATATATATATATATATATATATATATATATATATATATATATATATATATATATATATATATATATATATATATATATATATATATGTATATATATATATATATATATATATATATATATATATATATATATATATATATATATATATATATATATATATATATATATATATATATATATATATATATATATATATATATATATATATATATATATTATGGTCAGGTCAGGTTTATCCTGCTACTGGTAACATGTAACCCAGTACAATCTGCTTCATGTCCTGCTGCCTTGTAGGATATGCCTTTTTAGGCAAAGGCTAGGAGATGCAAACTCCGACATAAAACACCCCCTGCCTTGGGGCTCTTGGTTTAGTAAAGGCTAAAGATGGTGTCTCGATAAAAATACTCATTTTGGGCAGATGTTAAATGCATCCGGCTGCTGTATTATAGAAGGCCTCCGAGACAAAGACTTAAGGGGTAAACAGATTCTATCTGTTGACCAGCCTCGCACCCCTTCTTCATCTATTAGGCTGGCGCAGATGTGTTTTTAATACATTGTTTCCAGTTTAGGATGTTGAACGCTGGATCTTCTTGACTCAATTTGCTTTTTTTTTATGACTAGGCAACTCATTCTATTATCTCCAAATGAGGGTACAGCTCTAAAACTCAGTTTTATGGTTCTGAAGCCGGCTGGTAGTCAGGTTTCCCGAACTCTGTGGTAGCTCTCAGAGAGGCTGATTCCATCAACAGCTGAAAAATATCAGAGTACTAATAGTGCCATGTTGCACATGGATGGTGTCCCTGTTTGTACTTTTGGTGTGCATTGCCAAGGGCACATTGGAGCTCTTTGTTACGGCTTATGGTTTATTAATGGAAATGAGGCAATTGCTTGGGCTATAAAACAGTGTATTGAGTACTATCTATGTTTCGTCTCAAGTTCTTTAATAAATTTAAAAATGAATAAAGTAACAAAAACTATCAAAACACAAAAAACCACAGTTATCACCAAGTTTGCTAAACCATCATTCATCAAAATTCGTGGTCTTCGAAGTAACTTTTCTTCTGTTGAGTCTTATCTCTTGCAAAGTTTACAAGACCTACTTGCTCTTTGTAAGACTAATTTGAGTTCAGCTGTCTCATCTTGTGATCTTAGTGTTGATGGTTATCTTCCTTTAATTCGTAAAAACTCCAATAGTCACATGCTTGGCCTAGGCATATACATTCGTAAGAACTCACCCATTTGTCGGGAAACTAGGTTTGAATCCACAGACTACTCTTTTATGTGCTTTCATTTAGCACCACTTCACTCTATCACCTTTCTCTTTGTTCTATATCACTCTCCCTCATCTCAAGACTGCAGTCTTCTTGATGTTATTTCTGATTATATTGACCAAGCCCTCTCTCTTTATCCATCAACCAATATTGTTGTTGTCGGTGACTTTAATGTTCATCACACTGAATCGCTTGGCTCTAGTGTCAGTGACTCTGCAAGCATTAAAGCCCACAACCTTTGTCTTTCTCAATCTCTAACTCAAGTAGTCAATTTTCCAACTCGCTTTCCAGACAACCAAAATCATTTACCTTCTCTACTCGACTTATGTCTTGTTTCTGATCCTAGTCAGTGCTCAGTTTCTTCACACTCACCCTTAGGTGCTTCTGATCATGGTTTGGTCTCTCTAAAACTATTATCTCATTCTTCTTTACCATCAGAATCCCCTATTATCGTACATCTTACAACTACCTTAAAGCTGACTGGGACTCTTTCCGTGATTTTCTTTGTGATGGCCCCTGGGTAGAAATCTTTCGTCTCCCTGTTGACAAATGTGCTTCTTACATAACTTCGTGGATTCAGGCTGGCATGGAATCTTTTATTCCCTCTCAACGATTCCAGGTCAAGCCTCACTCTTCTCCATGGTTTTCCTCACATTGTGATGCTGCAATAGCCAATCGAAACCATTACTTCTATATCTATCAGCAAAACAATTCTCTAGAAAACAGACGTCTGTTTATTACTGCTAGGAACCATTGTAAAAAGGTTTTGTCTAATGCCAAAGCCCGCTATTTTCAGATCATGAAATCTCGTATTTCATCACAAAAATTAGGCTCTCGTGACTTCATGAGAATCTTTAATAGTATCAATAATAAGAGCAAGTGATTCCACCTCTTTTGTATGGTTCAGACTTTGTCACCTCACCTAAAGACAAAGCTGAATTGTTTGCCAAGAACTTTTCATCAATATCAACTCTTGATGCCACTAGTTGCATTCTACCTGACATAGCCGTCAAACAGGTTGATCCGTTGCTCGACATTCCTATCACTCCAGCTTCTGTATCTAAAGTGATTTCCCGCTTAGACTCTTCTACAGCTTGCGGCCCAGACAACATACCTGTTATAGTCTTGCAGAAGTGTTCTCTGGAGCTGTCGTCTATACTTTCAAAACTATTTAACAAGTGCTTATCAGAGTCTTGTTTTCCAGCCTGCTGGAAAGCAGCATCTGTTATCCCTATTTTTAAAAATTCTGGAGAGCGATCTGATTTGTCTAACCATCGTCCCATTAGTCTTCTTCCTATCATAAGCAAGGTTTTTGAATCTTAAATTAACAAACACTTAATCTCGAATCTCGAATCTCATAACCTACTTTCTGATCATCAATATGGATTTTGATCATCTCGTTCTACGGCTGATTTGCTATCAGTAATAACCGATAGGCTTTATCGCGCATTAGATAAAGGTGGAGAGGTTAAGGCCATTGCTCTTGACATTTCTAAAGCATTTGATAAAGTTTGGCATGCTGGTCTTCTCCATAAACTTTCTTCTTACGGTGTATCTGGAAACATTTTTAAGATTATTGAATCCTTCCTTTCCAATCGTAGTATAAAAGTTGTCCTTGATGGACAG